CTCCTCACATACAGTCCAAACGGAAACCCACTGCGTCCAAATACTACCCCTGTTGCGAGAGAATTTGGCCACATATGGTACCCAAGAACACATTCCTAGCGAACTAGGTTGTAATTAGAACTGGGTACAAAATCTCGTAGGCGTGACCCCTGAGAAGGACCGCCACCCTCCTCACATACAGTCCAAACGGAAACCCACTGTGCCCAAATATTACCCCTGTTGCGAGAGAATTTGGTCAGGTATCTTGAAAAGGCACCGTTCCGGAAACCTTTAAGGCGCAATTCCCTTCTTAACACTAACAAGCTGAGGCCCACTCCCCTGAAATCGGAGGAGTGGGCCAATGAACGACTCAGATGGCAAAACACAGCCCCTTTCTTCTGCTGTCTTCGTCCATACGAAAGAAAATCTTGGGTGGAGATAAATTTGAGGGGTTCAGAGGAGAAGATATGAGCCTGGTTTTTCATAGTGGCAACTCATCTAGCAGAAGGGGAAAAAACAGAAGTGGTGACAGAGCAACCTAGAAAATCCCAGACACCCGAATGGTCATCAGTTCGGAGCAATGATAAGGCGTCATCGTAGGAACGAAGGAACTTGTCATAGATCGAAGCAGCCCTAGCAGCATATAAGGAAGTCCTTCGAGGAAAATGTAAAAAGATGGCAACGTCATCAATCAAACGCAAGCCCGTGATATATTTACTGTCAGTCCCCAGGAATTTAATGAAAGCATACTCGTTATAGGAGCACAACAAACAAGCAAGTGCAGGACTCAAACTTTTCTCCATTGGCACTCCTATTGTCTGTTTAAGCATGATGGTCCCGACCTTCACAAATGCATTATCCAAATCGAAAACGACCATCTTAATTATTTGTAGTAATTTTAACTTAACCCATCCCTTCCGCGGATGTTTTCTCGTTAAAGACGAATCCCTACCTGATTTGTTGATAGAAACACTAAAAATCCCCTAATCGAAAAACAACCGAGTGATCCATAGAGCAACTTGGATAATAGAAAAGTGAGGTAGCTTAGTGAACATTTCTTTGATATCAAAGATGGCGGATAAAAGAAAACAGTTGTGGTTTCTACGAGCATTCTTAGTTAGTCTCACGCGACCGCCGACGGATTCGTGGTCTGGCGAGAGTGAGCAGACCACAGCGAGTGTAATCTGACTAAGCTTCCCTCTGAACCGTGCGTGCAAGATTTCCAGTTTAGGCAAAATCATTTTTGGTTCACCAAACACAAACGGGAAGGAGCCTAAATCGATGGACTCGAAAGAAAAACAATAACAAGTCGATAAAGTGAAAACAAAACAAATAAAAATCCACAAAAAACGAATTCGAGCTTCCTCGATAATCATTTTCAGCGCCTTCGTGGGAGCCTTCGGGGGATCCACGGGTAACGGAAAGTGAAAAAGAGAAACGTTCTGAGACTGGCGTGGTCCTATATAAACCTACTAGTTTATCGAGAACATTCTCTTTTCTTGTGTCTAATGAAATTTATTCTATTGAGATGTATTTCTCTTTTTATTATATTATCGATTCTCTATCTCCAATACATCTAAAATCAATGATCAATTAAATTAGATTCTCCGCAACCTAGAGCAGCAAAAAAGAGATAAATTTTGCCGCAAAATCCTGCTAATGGAGGTATTCCTCCCTTGAGCAAATGGCTGTTAAGTGCGCCGATTTTGACTTATCAAAGGGCCAGGTCAGGCGGGTCACACTACCGCGCGCGGGGTAGGATTAGGAACTAGACGCGTACGGTCAGGAAAGAGACAGCGTTTTCCTATGTATTGCGGGAGCCCGAAGGTCCGTTTCTCCTTGGGGAAAACCTGTAGGCATATGTGTGGTTTTGTTTTTTGTTAATTAAATTAATGCAACTGACAGGCTTCGGTAGTGTGACCCGCCTCACCTGGCCCTTTGATATGACTATTGATGTCAATGATCCTATCCTTTAGTAAAGACGTACTTCTTAGATTGAAATGAGCAGCCTTAGGAAGATTCCACAACAACGTATTAATAGCCCTTCCCATTATACGATTGGAGCGTATATCCGGATTAGAAAAAGAAGGCGAGATCGGCCGCCATCTAGGGAGGTCCTTGTGTTTAGGAATTGCATAAGAGCAAGTGGTCCTCCCTTTCGGGTTCCAACCCACAACGTTATTGCACTGATACTTTGAATACTCTTCCGCACATGTCCTTAGAATGGCTGATTCGGATCTAATATCAACCAGAAACCCCGGATTATGAATAAAGAGGTTCCGCATAGCTTCCGATTGTACCAACGAATAACAGAAATACGTATCTCTGACATTGTGACCAATGGGCTTGACAACCAATCCCACCAAATTCCTAAGCCAGTTCTCATCATCCCTAGAGAGAAGAAGGGAAGAGGGGAGGGAGGGTAGGTGACGAAAACAGTTGGCGATAGCATGTGATGGAGGCCGTCCTGACTGGAGGGCAGGAAGTCTCATCAAACCTGCTTCAATCGCTCCTCGGACATGGCCAATAGAGACTTAGGTCGATGGGATATAGACATTGTTGGAATTCATCAAAGTGGCAGGAAAATCACTTAGATTAGAAAACCTTTCCAATGGATTTGTTATCTGTCCATACGATGCGAAGTCGAGGTACGAGGAAATCAGCCACACACGGGTTCAGGATACGGTTTCTGATGAGATAAAAGTAATCGGTCGCACTATCGTATGTCGAATATGACTAAAACCCAACTTGTTGAGGTAAGCACGTCTTTCTCTGCGACCCTTCCGCTTACAACCCTGTTTCCTAGGACCAATACGAGAGTTAAGGGAAGGACACCAAAGAGAAATCAAATGTTCCTCCACTCATCTAAGTTCTTCCAAAGATGGGAAGGCAATAGGGATAGCTACATACGTAGAAGGACCTTTCTTACTAAGCCATATGTGCAGTCGAGGTTTGTTACTACCAGAAGAAAATCTTACGTGCTCCAACCATCGAGAATTGATATTTCGGGAAGTAGAACCGATGTAGGTGGCTTTACAAAAAGGTGAAATGAGGAGATAGACACAAGGGCCCAGTGGGTCAAAAATATCGAAAAGAGATTGTGACATGCCAAGCCATAATCCTACGAACTTGCTGGACCAAGGCAACTAAACCAAACATGCAAGAGTGACAATCAGAAATCTCAACAAACCTTCGACGTTTTGCCAAGAAGAGGTCCTCCGAGTAGAGTCGGCTCATAGCTGAATCGTGCGATAAACATAATCCCAGACACAGGCGGCAAGGGAAGATCATCAAGAGGGATTGTCTTCGTGAATATCATTAGCGATGTTGTCAAGACCTTCCTCCTCCGGCAGCTCGCCATATGCATCGCGGGCTCTCATCTCCGCCAAATCTGTGGATGCTTGTAACTTGTTATAGTACTTGATCTTATCTGCTTTACACAACGATTCGAGTTGGTACTTGGATTTGGACATCAACTCCTTCCGAAGGTCTTCAATGTACTTGATCCGTCCCTCTTTCCCACTGGACGCGACTGCAGCCTTCTTCCCTGGATTGATTCTATCAAACCCTAGAGGTTCCTCCGTCACTTCTCGTCTAGCCGGAGAGACGGAAGCAGACCCTCTCCTAGCCGCATTAGCAGCGACTTACGCAAACATATCAGCAAGGCGAGTAGAAAAACGACTACCAGTGGGCGTCTTACGAGTGTCGACTTTGCTACGAGAGGATGAAGGTTCGTCATTCACAGGGGCGCTCTTCCTAGGAAAGGGAGGTGGGGGAGGCGGAGGAGGGGGAAGGGGAGGAGGAGGAGGAGGAGGAGGAGGAGGAGAAGAGGAAGAGGGAGGAGGGTTAGGTGGGAGTCCACCCGGACCCGAAGGCTGTTGAGATGGATGGTTGGTACTAAACTTCGTCTCAATCTTCTCTAACACCTCCATGCATCTCTTGACCAAGTTAACCTGCTTATCCTGAGTTCGCTTCACATTATCGATCTCCATCAGAAGGAGTCCGGCATCCAAAGGACTGAGATTAGGAATCACCAAGGGCGGGTCGTCACACCTAGGACGTCCTTGAGCCAGGAGGATGGGAGGGGAACCCCCCATGTCTCCTTGAGGCCGTTTGCGAGTATCGCCGTCTTCCACGGCTGGTTCCTTACCATTTCGCCCCCGCCTTGGTTCCCCGATCGCCTTCTCAATTTCTTTCCAAATCTTCCTGTTCTCCTCTTCAGTACACGTCTGGTGCTGCGTGTCAAGTTCTTCCATTTTCGCATTGATAATCCTCGCCATGCACGCTTCCTTCTCAACTTGTCTTGCCTCTTCTTCCTCCTGCTTTCTTCTTTCTTCTTCTTTGGCGAGCCTAGATTGTTCCTCCCCGAGCAGACGATCTTCCGCTTCTCGTCTGCGATCCTTCTCTTCTCGCCTGTCATTGACAAGTTCCCTGAGGAGAGATACGACTTCGCCATCATTGGAGCGAGGCCTTGGAACCCAAGGGGCGGCTTGGGAAGCAGAGGGGAGGGAAGAGGAGTTCGGTACCGGAGGCCGGTACGGAACCACAACAGAAGAGAGTGAGGGGGGGAGAGGAGACGCAGATGGAGCGGCAACAAGCTGCTGTAATACAGGAGCCTGGCTGATGGGAGGAGCCGAGGGAGCATAAATTGCCAAAGGTGAAGAATATGACGAAGGTCTAGGGCCAAATCTTCCCACCGGCGTACCCGAGATCAAACCATCTTGGCGTTGAGCATACGGGCAGTTTCTTGCGAAGTGCCCTGGCTGGCGACAAGTGTAGCAAAGCCATTCGAACGAGGGAAAATGCCCTCCTTCCGCCATGCTTATCGACGACGTACTGAACACACGAAGATGCTAATAACTCCGTCCGCTCTCAGCAACGGGAGATGGAGAGACAACTCACGGACAAAACAAGAGACACATCCAACAAAACAAGTTTCCAAAACAACAGGATCACCCGGCGTAATTAGAACGAGTGATCTGCAATAGACAACAGATTCCATGCAATTGAAATAGATGGGAGATGATGGGTAGAGAGATGAGAGAAAGGATGGCGACTAATTAACACAGTGGATTGACAATGGTCGAAGAGATCAAACCCTGAAAAGGCAAGACTCAGAACCAAGAACGATTACACCAATCAACGATTCACGAGGTGGTTACAATCGCTACCGTCAGTGCAAGGGAGACGCAAACATGTGTGTACAAGTCGCATGGACAACAGGAAAGGGGGCACACATATAGGAGATAACACATGACAGAGAATGCACATAATCACACATACACATGATAGAGAATGCACATAATCACACATGAAAGAGATGCAAGGAGTCGCGAGCAAGAGAAGGAGAGGGATAAATAGCAAATGTAGACAGCCATGGAGGCGAGATACGCGCAAACAGGCACTTAAAGAAATATACGTGAAACATAGCGAAGTGCCAATCTGGCGGTTGTCCCTATGATCATTTCGACCGCCCGCCAGAGACGGTCTCATCAGGGGACATGAACGCAAGATCTGATCATTCTCCTATAAATACTAATCCAAAGCCAAATCACGAAACCCCTTTACTCCAGCATATCCATCTTAGTCCAGCACTGAGCAAGTGAAGAGAGAACGGGAAACGGAGGAACCAAGGGGAAGTCTGAGTGTAGGAGCAAAGGGCAGAGGGGAGAGGCGGGAAGGTCAGAAGAGCCATTGTGGAAGGAGAGACATAAAGAGGAGCGAGAGTGAACAGAAACAGTGTAAAAAAGGAGACGGTTGAGAAAGGTGACAGGAGGAGATGAAGACAGAGAGCAGACAGTGATGGCGGGAGAAGGGAGGAGACAGAGAAGGAGGTCGTAAGGTATAGAGAGAGGCAGGCGGGAAAAAGTTACTCCCCAGATCGCCAGTTCATTCGATCAATGGATGAAGCTCTGTAGGCACCGTCGTATGAAACCCTCATCAGCCGGAAGTGAAATCCGAAGGCGACGCAGCGACCATACTATAAAGGGAATACCACTTCAAAGAAGA